TACAGGGGGGTTGGGGTTTAATAGGGGTGGGGGCTTAGAGTTTAATAGAGGTGGGGTTTGGGGTTTTGAACAGGGGGGTTGGGGTTTAATAGTGGTGGGGGCTGGGGTTTTGTAAAGGTGGGGGTTGGGCTCTATAAGACTCCATCAGAGTCTTTAATGAAGACTGAAAGGGCCTAATAAATAATAATAATATGTATATCATATATATATTATGCCTCCTTGCTGTTTTTATCGTGATTACTTTTTCATTCTGTGATATTTGTTGATTTATCACCTAGTTACCATGTCGGCTTGGTTTAGTTGGTTTCCTAGTAACCACGATATCTCTGCAAGCATCATTACGTCATAACGACGCTTGCGGCTTCCCGTCACTTCTGGGTTGGAACCCATGGGGCCCCGGTGCGAAAATTGATCCGTGGGCCCCCCGCGCTCTTACTCTGCGGACCGGGGCTGCAACACATGGCGGCGGGCACCTGGTCGCAGGGGTACACTAGTGCATGCAGATGCACACACACTTAAAGGACCACTACAGACACCCATATCACATCAGCTCAATGAAGTCGTCTGGGTGCCAGGTCCCTCTAGTTTTAACCCTGCAGCTGAAAACATAGCAGTTTCAGAGAAACTGCTATGTTTCACTGAGGGTTAATCCAGCCTCTAGTGGCTGTCTCACTGACAGCCGCTAGAGGCACCTCCGCAATTCTCACTGTGAAAATCACAGTGAGAAGACGCTGGACATCCATAGGAAAGCATTGAGTAATGCTTTCCTATGGGCGGTTTGAATGCATGCGTGGCTCTTGCCACGCATGCACATTCGGGGCTGGGAGGCGGATCGGGGCGGAGGGATCCCCAGCGCCAAGGGAGTCTGGCGCTGGAGAAAGGTAAGTGCTGAAGGAGTTTTAAACACACACCCTCTCACAAACAGACGCATACACACTAGCTAACAGACACACACATTTACTGACAGTCATACTCAGCGACATACATACACACTCACTAACAGACACACACAAACACACTCAGTAACACACACACTCAATAACAGACACACAAACTAACACACTCACTGACACTCACTAGTAGACACATACACACACACACACCTACACACACACTAATACACATGTTTTTTTTATTTTTTATTATTTAATCCCCCAACCTCCTTACCTTTGGGAGAGCTGAGGGGATTCCCTGGGGTCCAGTGGTGCTGCTGGGCGGGCTGTCTGTCTGTCTGGCTGGCGGGCTCGCGAGGGAGCGGTGCGCAAGGGAGCTGGGCAGAGAGCGCTCAGCCGCGACCCTAGTATGTACGCCACTGCCCATGGTAGCCTTTGAGTTTGACATGCTTGTTTTAAATGATATATTTTGATTATTTTTGTTTTTAATATATATAAAAAAAAAAGTTTATCCCAAATATGAAATCATTTGAAAGGCTTATCCAAAAATATTCAATCAAGGCCACAGTATATTTGTTTACGCAGGCCTGTTATGGTCACCACTACAAGCCACTACTTTCAGGCCCCTGTTTCTACTAAAGATCCAAAGCTAACTGTTTTCCATTATCCATTAACACTACCATTAACATTAAAAGAGCTTTGCAATTCCTAAGGAAAAAAAAAGCCGTACAATGTTTGTAATTGACTAGTCCCCTCTCTGTGACTTAGCGCCATAGCCTGTCTAGCCAGTTTTAATGCCTTGCAGCACGGAAGACTACTGTCAAAGGTTCGGTGCTCAAAACGGCTATAATAGAGGTTGCAATGGGAGCACATCAATGCATTATTGCTATGCTAGTGTGCACATACTGGCCTTCAGCGAATTAGTGAAGTGACGTCACAGGAAGCAAGGAGCACACAAGCAGCATTTCAGGGATTAAGGTTGTTCTTTATTTAAAATTCCTTAGCAGTGTACCAAATCAAGGCAGCTGAATTAATGCATTCATTATTGTTTTGCATCTTTAACCCCTTAAGGACACATGACATGTGTGACATGTCATGATTCCCTTTTATTCCAGAAGTTTGGTCCTTAAGGGGTTAAAGGAAACACTCTGGGCGCCATAACAACTTAATTGGAATGTAGTTGTTATAGCACGAGGAGGCCCTGGTCTCCGGCTTACCTCACGGGGTTAAACACAAAGTGTTCAGAACAGTGCCCGTCAGTTCACTTTCTTTATTTGTCCAAGGCTACAAATGAGATTTGGACTTGCTGAGAGTTTCAGCTGATGCTCTCATCTCTGCTTATCAGTAACTTCTCATTCAGAAAACAGAGTTATAAAAACTATGTACGCTTCTCATTCCATTTTAAGAATGTAAAGTGTCCACTCCAAGGATCCTATTTGAAGATTAGAATGAAGAATTGAAGTGAATGGGTAGAGCTGATGGTCCCCAGTGTTTACATTGCTGGCTAGTAACCCCTCTAGTGACAGTCACACAGACGGCTACTAGAGGCGCTTCTTAGTCCAGTACAGCACCTATGTTCAGCTGAATGGTCCCCAGAGAGATGCATTTATTCAATGTATCTCCATGAGGAGATGCTGATTGGTGCAGCTCAGCATTTTGCCGCGTATGAGTAATAGCTTTTCTATGGGAAAGTATTGGTTTGGCTGAGATCATCAAGATTGATGATTTCAGCCATGGAGGCGGGGACAGTTGCGGCATGACCTGCATAGCAGTGAAGAAAAATGAAATAAAATATATTTTATCTCCACAAAGAGGGGGGCCTAGTGTTAGGAATGCATGTGTGTTTTCCTGAAACTATAGTGTTCCTTTAAGTATCAGTTGGTGAGCTCTGCAGAATATCCCTGTTGTGAAATGATTCATTAAGATCATTTTTTTTCAATGCATTTATTATGTTGGACTTTCTCTAGCACAGGCTGGAACACCCCCACAATGGGTTGTCATATGTGTACGAAAGAAAGCCGGCACAACCATCTACCTGGTTCCAAATAATTTTGAGAAGGTGACGGCAAGCTCATATTGCTGGATCAAGAATAAATATGTTTGATAGAATAAAAGAGCACATTCCAGGCCTACTAAGAACAAAGAGCCACTTGTGTCATGATCTAAGTAAACTGACACAGAGATGAAATACCCACACAGAGCTAGACTTCTAATCAGGAAATCAACCTGCTCCTGTGTAGAGTTTTCTGTTACCCAAATCTTTGTAGCTAAATATGTCTTAGAACTGAGGTTGCTTTTTTAATTTTTTTCTTGAAACATACATTTAAGAAAAGTCATATGGGTAAACCATTGAAGTAATAGTGTATGTATTGTTTATCTCCACTGTCACAGGCACACAGCTTCTGAGAAGTGCCAGTTTGGCAGGAGTTTTCGATGTCAGTCGTGGAATGCAGAATAGCTACATACTGGCTCATGTACTCAAGCGACTTTACATATTTTTTGTTTTGTTTTTACCCATTCTTTGTTTTGAGCTTTGTTTCTGAACCCAGCCCTCAAAAAACCTGAGCTGTTGTTATGGAATTCGTTGGATTATTCCTGTCCCTATAAAAAAAAAAAATCAGATTTGGGGGGGCCGTGTCCTAGCGGCGGACGAGAACGGCCGCGTGATTGAGGAGCTCCTCCAATACACGGTGTTCCCAGCTTGCTCCACAACGTCTAACCGGCTCAAAACCGGCCTAACAATCAGCAACACATCGGGCTTTACCCGCGGACATGTATAGCAGCAAACACCGGCAAGGAAATGAGGCAACGAACGCTGCAGCTACAAGCTACCCCAGCTCACTCTCACAACACAGATTGTTGTGAGATGGCGCCAACGGCCCGCGCTCACCCTGTCACCAATGCTACACTTAAGGCATTTTTATCTGACCTTAAAGCCACCCTCCACACTGATCTGATGCAGGTGGCAGCTGACATACGATCAGACATACAGCAAGTGGGAGAAAGGTCAGCTAGACTAGAGGAGAGGACAGATGAAATAGTAGATTCCCACAACAACCTGGCTGAAGCTTACTCTGCATTAGAACACAAATTCAGATTCTTGGAAGATAAAGTGGCCAGATAAAGTGACCACGAGGACAGAGATAGGCGCAATAACATCAGGTTAAGGGGGATACCTGAATCCGTGGCTGCAGTCTTCTGTACAATAAATATTTAAAGCTTATATGCCTGATCTTTCAGACACAGACCTTCTATTAGATCGCACGCACAGATTACCCAGACCAAAACACCTGGGGGCGCAAACGCCAAGAGAGGTCATCACTAAACTGCACTACTTTCCCATGCAAGCCTCACGGAACCACCCACCTCCTCCTGGGAAACTTGAACAGATTTAGCTGTTCATCCACCTGTCAGCCTACACAATGCTGAAAAGACTTTTGCCCCCATCACGGCAGCACTACAAGAGACAAAAATTCCATACAAATGGGGATTCCCGACCAAACTCCTGGTTAAAAGGAACGGAACGACTCTACCATCCTTTCCCCTGTAGAAGGTACAGCGTTATTGAGGGACTGGAACATTCCCCTGGCCAAATCAACTACTTCTATACCACACCAAAAGGCATCTCCAGTCAAGCTTAACAGAGACTGGTCAAAAGTGGTCCACATTCGCCCACAGAAGACCCCCTGAACTTCATCAGTTAGGTAATGCGCAACGGCACGTACAACATGTCACTGTAGATCATGATGTTGTTGATTGCAGTCAATGTATTATGCTGCTGTTGCTTTTCTTTTCTCTTTTCCTATAATAACACTCCGGTTGATAAAAAGTCAAACACCGCTACCGGAGACAACTATTTGAAGGATTAGCTACTCTATCCCTAGTCCCCACACGTTCATTGTTGGACCCTCACCCCCCGAAGTTGCCAAAGGGATGGGCCACACTCTTATCCGTTTCCTATGCCCTTGTCGATACACATCAACCAACGTTTTTTTGTAGATAGTTAACATATTTCTGTTCATTTATCTATGTTTTACATGTGACAACCCTGTAAGGCAGATGGTAAGAATCACAAGAATTTGTGTGTCTGGCGCATGCACTACTAGGCCCAAACTCAATCCTAAAATAACCCAGATATACTGGAGAGGTCCCGAGGAGGGAAGATTCCGCAGGGCTACCTGATGGCTCAGCGTTAGCGCTGAGAGGCACAGTAGTAGGGGCCCGGTTCCCCCCTCTATGGAGAGGGGTTATTTAACTGCTCTTCATCACCAAGCAGATGTGTTACCCCAAACCAATGGTGCTTAACATATTTTCCCTTAATGCTAAAGGGCTTAAATCTCCGAACAAGAGACGCCTAGCACTAAAAGAAGCCAAGTCTCACGATGCCCACGTGGCGTTCTTTTAAATGGGGTCAGCGCCCTAAATTCAATTCTGTAGCATTCCCTGTGGACTTCCATGCCTGCTACGCAAAAAAACCCAAAAAACGAGGGGTGTCCATTTTAATTAGCAAAGATGTAGTCTTCTCGCTGGTTAGGAAATTCGGGGGTAAAAAAGGGAGGATTGTACTGCAATGCTATGTCAATAACTGTCCATACATGTTTATTAATGTATACGGTCCTAATGAACAACAAAATGACTTTGTGGAATATGTACTTGCACTTAGCACTAAGTATAAGTTTGGGGATGTGATGGGGTGGGACACGAACTTCCTGCTAGACAATCACTTAGACTCCTCTCACCATAAACCCTTGCTAGCTTGAACCATGAAGACGAGAGCTAAACAAGTCTCCCGCATTAGACACACCCTCACAACGCATAATTATGTAGATCCATGGAGATTGCAACACCCTAGCGAAAGGGATTTCACATGCCATATGGCAGCACATAACTGCTATTCTAGGATCGACAGGTTTTTAATTTCTTCAACACTGTTTCCCAGAGTAGACAACTCACGCATAGGGCTTATCTCGTGGTCCGATCACGCACCCATCACCATATCCCTGAAAGAACAATTTACATCCAGGGGTAGAGGCAGCCGGAGGTTGAACGATAACTTACTCACCGACCCGATAGTAGTTGCACAAATCACCCTGGACCTCAACAACTACTTCTCAGAAAACAAAATGCCAGATTCCACACCTGACCAAATTTGGCTGGCGCATAAAACAGTAATTCGAGGCAGTTTTTTTATTTTTATTTATTTTTTAAATTCTTTATTTTTGCGTGCATGTGAATTACAGTCGTTTTGTCAATGCCCCAACAGTAGTGACAAACATTCGATTAGACATAGTGTAACATTTAGAAGCATTTGATTATATAGCACATTTTTAAGTAGAATGCGATTATCAAGTACAGACTAACTTGCATGTTCTGTGTCGAGTTTAAGTAATGAATGGTTCATGTTTAAGCGTTAAATGTAAGCGGGTTATTTAGGTTTATAACAGAGTGTTCAAGCTTGTAGATGATTTTACACTGACATTCACTGACAATATGAGAAACCACTGGGAACAAACAGTGCTGATAGTGATATCTATCTTAGCTGTGAGGGAAGACAGTGGATCTAAGGATAAGGGAGCTACCATCTCGCTTAATGCTGCATGTGTAGGTTTGCATGGGGTTTGCCTGCTTGTGGGGTATAACGACTGACATAACTGGGAGATAAGTAATTACGTGGTAAGCATAGTCCAAACAGCGACAGCTGAGAGCGGGTCCCCAGGATGCTAGGGTGGTATATCCACTGTGAGGTATGGTAGCAGGTGCTTTAACCGATGCCCAGGGCAGGGAAGTCTCTCTCATAGTTGCGGTGTGTCTTTTCGATGGTGCCCCTGTGTTGGGGGTCAGCTCCAGCGTTGATCTGTGGTATGTGCAGCCGCACAGCTACTAGGTTTGTAGCGTTGATTGTAGAAGGTAGGGTCGTGCTGCCTGTCGATTTTCGGGTCGAGTGGGTTGTTTGGTGTAGCGCTTGTTTGGTGGTCCAGCACCTGTGCTGTTGTAAGTGTAAGCGTGCACCAGAGTAGTATGGCGCCACTTCCCGCCTTGAGGATCGCTGATGCCTGAGTTTCCTGATGGCCGCTCTGGAAGCTTGAGGTAAGCGCCTGTAGTGGCGACGTCGTGTTGCTGGGCGTATCCATGCAGCCACGGTTTTTATCGCTATGTGATAAGCCATTCCGCGGCAGTACAGCATGTCCCAGAAGCTTGTACAGAGCCGGTCAAAAGATCCCAGAGGGTGTGTAGGTGGCTGAGTGTTTGTGCACCATGTTGTACTCCTGTGCTGGGCAGCCATCTTGTCTGCGCCGCGTTGGTTTGGTGCCTCTGTGTGCTGTGGAGTTGGTAAGTCTGCCCTCCTGCCTTATCAGTTTGTCCAGTGAGGACCGGGATATCCCCCACCGGTCCAAAGGGGGGGGGGGTGATTTGGTATGAGGTCGCTTGAAGGCTCTGGCTTCAGGGAGAGCGGCCGCCTCTCCCGAGCTCTTACCCCAGTAGGCCGCACGTGGATTCCTGCTTCCCTAGCTCCGACGGGCTCCGGGGTGGTATCAGTCGGTTAAGTGGTGCATCCCCAACGTGGATGGTGCACCCCAGAGGGTCCTTGGGCTGTGTAGCCGCTGCTTTTGCCCCAGATTTTGCCCGCTGTGCAGGAGCTCGTGCTATACACGTCTGCACAGCTCGGTGGTCAGGCTCCTCCCCCAATTCAAGGCAGTTTTATCAAACACGCTAGCTACACTAAAAAGAAACGCCTCGAAAAATATACAGACATACTAAAAAAACTCACGGATATCACACATTCCAACAAATTGTCCCCAACCACCTCCCATCATACCACAATCCTAGGATTACAAGCACAATTTAGAGATCTTGAACTAGCCCAAACAATATTTTTATTTAGAAAGATGAAGCACAGTTTTTTTTTTGCCTCTGGCAACAGAGCAGGCACCAAACTGGCCTCTCAGCTCCGAAAAAAATCCAGAACCCCCAAAATCGCCTACCTTGAAGGTACCAAGGGGAAAAAAGTACTGGACCCACAACTTATAGCAAATGAATTTGCTAACTACTATAGCAATCTATATAATCTAAAGACAGACCCACAAGTAACAATCCCCACCACTGCAGACATAGACACCTTCCTCTTAGACCTCAATCTCCCCACCTTAAGCAAAGAAGATGCTGACTACCTACTAACACCCTTCAGCTTAGACGAAATTTCAACTTTGATTGGCTCCCTTCCAGCACACAAAGCCCCAGGCCCTGATGGTCTCCCGAACGCCTACTACCGTACATTCCAAACAGTCCTGTCCCCGCATCTCCCAAATCTTTTTTATTATAGCATAGAAAAGGGAACCCTACTAAAAGAACTTTTACTAGCCCACATCTCTACGCTCCCTAAACCAGGGAAATCCCCCACAGTGTGTAAAAACTTTAGACCCATTTCCCTGCTCAATTGCGACGCAAAGCTATATGCGAAGCTCCTTAGCAACAGACTGGCACGATTCCTACCCAAATTAATACACAACGATCAAACCGGCTTTGTAAAAGGGAGAAAAGGGTCAGACAATTCCAGAAAGGTGCTGAATACCCTAGCGGGACTGGAGAGAGGAGGAGGCACGGGCCTTTTCTTAGCATTAGATGCAGAAAAGGCCTTTGATAGGCTGAACTGGATATAAATGCAATGGGTACTCTCCAAATTTGGTTTCCCACAAGCACTCACAGAGATAATCATTGCTTTGTATGCACTCCCAGAGGCTAAGGTATCATGTGGTGGTTTCCTTTCCGACACCTTTCCCATCACCAATGGGACCCGACAGGGGGGCCCACTCTCCCCACTACTCTACATTCTTTCCCTGGAGCCACTAGCACAAAAAATAAGAGATCACGTACACATAAAGGGCATTCACATGCATGGGAGGGATTATCGCCTTGCCCTCTTTGCAGACGATATCTTCATAGCACTCTCAGACCCACACTATGCACTGCCCCACATTCTGGCTCTGTTGCAGAGATTTGGGGAAGTGTGTCATTACAATCTGAACCAAGACAAAACGCAAGCATTACCCATAGGGTTACGATAGAGAAAAATAAGGGAGTTACGAGATTCCTATAAATTTGACTGGAGGGAGTCCCACATCACCTACTTAGGGGTAAAAATCACACCCACTATACCGGGCATAATTAAAGGACCACTATAGTGCCAGGAAAACATACTCGTTTTCCTGGCACTATAGTGCCCTGAGGGTGCCCCCACCCTCAGGGTCCCACTCCTGTGGTGCTGAAGGGGGAGGAAGGGGTTAATCCCTTACCTTTTTTCCAGTGCCGGGATCCCTCGGCGCTGGGACTCTCCTCCTCCTTCTTCTTCCGTCATCGGCTGAATGCGCATGTGCGGCAAGAGCTGCGCGTGCATTTAGCCAGTCTCATAGGAAAGCATTATCAATGCTTTCCTATGGACGCTGGCGTCTTCTCACTGTGAAAATCAATGAGACATCCACTAGAGGCTGGATTAACCCATAGGTAAACATAGCAGTTTCTCTGAAACTGCTATGTTTACTGCAAAAAGGGTTAAACCTAGCTGGACCTGGCACCCAGACCACTTCATTAAGCTGAAGTGGTCTGGGTGCCTATAGTGGTCCTTTAAACATAACTACACCCCACTGATCCAGATGTGTAGGACGGAGTTGTCGGGATGGAAATCAACCAACTTGTCATGGTAGGGCAAAGTCAACACATTTAAAATGATGACCCTCCTGAAGCTCCTATATGTTTTCCGTCTGCTTACCCTACTGGTCCCTATTTCGTTTCTCAAGTCCCTGTAATCCATCTGCAGTGCGTTTGCTTAGGGAGGCAAAAGAGCGAGGATCCTGCTCGCGCTCTTACAAAAAACACCTTCAGCAGGAGGCGTTGGCCTTCCTAATTTACCTCTTTACTTCAAAGCTTCGGCCCTTGCGGCCGGAATAGCAGTACACTCGCCCCAGGGCCACACACAATGGGTGGATATGGAAAGAGCCCAGTTTCCGGATCAAACTCTGATTACCTCTGGACGCCGAAACACCTCCGACAAGTCCATAAGACCCTGCTCCCAACCACTAGGCTAACCCTTATGGTGTGGGACACCTTAATGGCGCAGACGGCACTTAAAGCCCCATTGACGGCACTTAAAACCATGGCGCAGACGATATCCCTCAGTAACTGGTCCCAAGCAGGCATCACCCACCTCGAGCACCTCCAAGAGGGAAATAAACTGAGGTCCTTTCCCGAATTGCAAAAACAATGGGGCTTACCAGACCAAGACACTTTCAAATACCTACAAGTGAGGAGTATGCTCGCATGGCCTCCCCTCGTCCAACGCCCACATAAGTCGCAAATTATTATCCCCTCCTCTGATAATACTCAGGTGCTATAAAGTGTGGCTAGAAACACTACCAGACAAACCGCCACTGTGTAAATTCCAGTGGGAAAAAGATTTGGGCACGGCCATCTCGGAAGATAACTGGCTCAGGGCACTGAACGGTTTAACTAAATGGACGAAATGCTACTCGCACATAGAGTCCCACAAAAAGCTACTATTCCGATGGTATCTAACACCACATAAACTACACAAAATATATCCAGAGGTATCCCCAAAATGTTGGCGGTGTGGGGTGTAGGAGGGGACGTTTCTCCACATTTAGTGGTTATGCTGCGGTATTCGCCTGCTATGGGAAGATGTGCACACACTGTTAAAACAATTAGGACTAAAATCATTCACACCCTCTGTCTTAACATGCCTACTCTTACTGCCAGACTCTAATACACACCCGGCCCACCACCAACTCATAGTACTGGTGTCACTGGCACTAGAAACCTGATATCAACTAATTGGAAAAAAACGCTTGGCCCGTCACTAACTCAATTGAAAGATAAGCTACAACAATATTACATATACGAGAAGATGTTGCTCAGCTTGCCCTCCCAGACCACCAGATTCCAGGCAACTTGGGCAAAATGGGTCTCAATCTCACAGCAAAATAGTAAGTAAACACATACATCAGGCCCCGACAAAGCCTTTCAGGATACATAATTCCTAGCCCCCAGGTTACTCTGTCACATGGTTCATGTTGTCACTGTTTTTAGTTTAATTTTGTGGATTATAACATGGTATTGTACCGACAAGTCTCTTGCTGTGACTGACAGCAAGCTGCGACTTGCGATGCTATTTACATCGTCATTACCAAGTAACTATGTTGTGAATCCTTTTACCTGAAAAAAACTCCATAAAATATAAATTGAAAAAAAAATCAGATTTGGACTAAACGTCCTAAATCTCACAGGGGTAGTGAACTCAAAGTATATTTTAAAACTTTATGCCAAAATTGTTGAAATGTACAGTGCCCCAGAGATATAACCGTGACCAGGGAATTATTATTATTTTTTACACTGTACTATCTCGTGGCACAATCTACTAAATAGTAGATAATACAGCGTACCTACAAAATAGTTATCTCACTTGAAAAATTTTATCGGCATGATCTACTAAATCATGCCCAAAAGATTGTAAAGCGTCCCCATGATCTAACAATATAGTAGGCAACAAAGGTAAGCACCTACCTGCTCCCTGGTGCTTACCCCCAGTGATGTCACATTGTGCAAATGTAATTCTCTTCTACATTTGTGCATTCCGTTTCAAATAGTTACGATTTATTAGAATTTTAGGCAACTCCAAAACACTATATGGACAAATCACAGCACAAACAAAATGGACAATGGACACATTTAGTTTTTTTTCATGATTCAGAGTTTTGGCCGTTGTGAAAAACCATGAAATATAAGAATATGGATGGAGGAGACAGCGTCTAAAAGTTGATTCCAATCACAGATCAAGTATTGACCAATAGAAGTGGGAGGAAAAAAGGAGCTATTAAAAAAAGATCTACTTTTAAAATATATTTAACAAATTTATAATTTATAAATATACATTTTCTTTAATGCTCCTCCTCTTTTTACCTCTGCTGGTTATTTCTTCTCAGTTGATCTGTGATCCAAATGGCACATTTTCATGAAAAGAGCACGAAATTAGTCTGAACTAAAACGTCACATAAACATGTGTAGCTGAAAACGATCCTTTGAGAAATACAATTAGGACAAACCAACTTTATTTTTTTTTTATTTTTTTACTGTGCACAAGTTTATTTACTTCTAAATATAGATGACTAAAAATGTAGCAATAGTAAATAGTGTATATAGAATTAAGTGAATTAATTATGTGTAAAAATGTAAGATAAAATATAATCTATGGGGAGGTAAATTGAGGCAAGTTAGGTTTCCAGACACTGTGAACCTATCCCTCTTAGTCTGTGTAGATTTACTGTTGTCTATCTGCCTATCTCTTTGTCAATTTCTGTAAGTCTGTAGCTTTCTCGATCTATTTGAGTCTTTTTATGTCTGTGTCATCCTATCTTTATTTACATGAGACTCTATCTATATGAGCCTGTGTTTACCTCTCTGGAACAGTGTGCCAGTTGAAAGTGAGTATGGAAGTGTATTTCTAATATATACAATAAAGATATTTGAAAAGATAAAATAAAAAGGTCAGAATAGTATAAACTGTACCCTTTCCTGGCAGAGCCAAAATAATGTATCATGCTACCCAAACATTCCGATTCTGGCTGGAAAGTACAGATTTTTTGGTCCCGTCCTGCCTTTGTTCCGTGAAGTCCCGCTTTTGACGACAATCATAGCTCGAGCGCATCATTAGACACGTTTGCACTTTGTTCAAAATACTGAAACAGTGCTCCCGGCATGTCCTGCCATTAGAGCACTGTCCTGGGTAATGGACAAGCATCCTGGCCCACTCCTCTGGGGCACAGCTAGTGACGCAACTGCATCAATGGACCCTTTACCTCCAACCTATTGGCATCAGGATACCAGATTTGGGAGGTATGGTGCATGTTGAAAAGATGTGTATCAAAGGCAAGAAAATGGGCCAATAATATTTGTATTACTTTGCAAGGCTAATACCATAAAAGAATTGGGCCCTGCCAAATATGGTGCTCTACACCAGGCATCTCAAACTCTGACCCCCATATATTTATAAATGCAACTCACACGATTCTTTGACCATCTATTACATTCAAATAATTCTGGGAGTTGTAGGTCATCAGCACATGGATAATTTTAAATCTCTCCTCTAGATAATACTCTTCCATGCTGGTTATTCATGTGAAGTGCCTTCTGTACTAGTAATTTCATGTAGCAATCATAAGAATATTGATTAGTAACTTTGTTTTTTGTTTCATTCAGACGAAACATATAGGCAGAAGTCGATGAATAATATTAGATTGCATAACAAATTATACATCCTCATACATGGAATTAACTGGCACCATCAGAATGCTAAATTCCATGCATTCCAGTTATGTAAGTGTATTCCATGTAATTTCCATGACAGATACACAGGAAGCTATATCGCTGTCAACTATGAATGAATAAACCTGAATGTGTCGCTCAGGGTATATAGCCATGTGACGTACATGTCATTCATGAAAGGCCTTCTAAACTGTGATAATTTAATTGCTGTGAATAAAATGTATTAAAAAGGGAACTGCCACTTATAACAAAATGTGTAAAACATCACCTAGAATTTGTGTTAACTTTTTATCAAGTGATACTGTATTTTCTTTTATATTTACATTATATATACAGAATCCAGTTCACACAAGGGAGGGTAAACAATGCAAATGATGAGGTGAAATGGAAGCATTGTTGCATTTTTTTTCTCTTCCCTTTATGCTTTCTCCTATACTGACTGTAAGGTGAAAAGGACAGAGTTTGTAACAATGATTGACAGGGAGCTAAAATGGAGGCGCCCATGCATTTAGCAACCAGACCATGGTCACAGCAAGCATGTAGAGGTGCTATTAATTAATTGACAAAAAAGTAGTGCTGACATGAGAACCAAAGAAAATAAGTTAAAAAATAAATAAAGTCAAAGCAGACCTCTTAGGTGACATGAGAACCAACCACATTTCAGCAATGGAAAAATAATCTCCAGTTCTGCTAAAAACTGTTTAATTTCTATTTAATTGAGTTATTTGTGTATTAAATTTTAGTAAGTTCTCAAGTAACAGCAACATATTTTTTTAAATGCGAAGGCTTGGCCTGCAGTTGTGGGAGGGGCATTGTCCTCTATTTAAGCCCACTACTCACCTCCCTCTGTCCCGTTCATTCCTTAGCGTTGCATGACCCCACTCTCCTCTCGCTTTTATACTTTTTCTTTACACCTTTCTGGGTGTGCCCTCTTTATTTACAGGCCTACTGCTATGTCGGTTCCTCTTCTTACACCTTGCTACACCTTGTCACTCGCCTTACACTCTTGCTTTGGCTTTTATGCCCTATCACAAATAGACATTGATGAATTCCCTTGCAAAATATAGATTCAAAAGTGTTATCAAACACAAATCTATCAAATATCTTAAGGTGTGTTGTGTCTTTAAGACATTAAATAATATTATAATATGTCTCCACAATTTATAACATAAAGTGCAATATGCGCTGTACATCAATATAAGGTGCAATAAATAAAGCACTGCAAACAGCAATCTGTGCAAAAAAAAAAAAAAAACTTTAAATGTGCACAGATTGTTATTTGTACTACTTATGAATTATAAATAGTGCAATTTATTTATTGCACCTTATATTGATGCATAGCCAGTGGCGGAACTACTGCGGTCGCAGGGGTCGTGTCTGCATTTGCATGTGTGTCAGTGTGTGTATATGTGTCTGTGTATCAGCATGTGTGTCCGTGTATGTATCTGTATGTGTTATATGGTATGAATCTGCATGTATTTCAGTGTGGGTTTGTTTGTATATCTGCTTGGGTGTCAGTGTATGCATGGGTCTGTCTGTGTAAATGTTATCCCACCACATACACTGTCACCCCCCTTCACCCTGCCACACTCATAATAACTTCATCAATCCTATCACTGACCCATGCCATTCTCCCCTCCCATCGCTCTGCCATATTCACCCTATCACTCTCACCTTCCCATGTACTGTCACACTCAACCCCCCAATCCTGTAACACTCTTTCTCCATCACTCTGTCATACTTGCCTCCTTTCACCCTGCCACATTCAATCCCTCTCACCCTGCCACCATCATCCTATCACCCAGGGCCCCATGGTTTCTAGTTACACACTTTATGTTGTAAATTGTGGAGACAGATATTTTAATGTATTAAAGACACAGCGCACCTTAAGAGCCTTGATATTATTAGACAGTGTATTTTCTGGACTAGTGCACTTAAAGGTGCTGCTTTTTGTTTACACTTTAATATTATGGTATGTTTTATGTTTCAAAATTGTATCACATATTTTTTTGTATTTTTAGTGCTTTTTTTCCCCAATTGATTTATCCAGTTGTATTAAGCACAAATCTATATTGCAAGGGAGATCCTCGAATATAGCATAACACACAGTGCTGGACATTTCCAGAGCTCTTTAAAATGTTACCATTGGTGTTAATGGCATGGAATCTTCATTGTTAATGTATGATATCTGTACTTGTTGTCATTGTATTGTGTCTGTGCACATACCATCCATACCTTCCTCATTGTCATTCATTTAATGGGACGGTTAACACAACGCTATGTTATCCGACCACTTCTTGAATCTCTCTTGAATGCACTAACGAGCAAGATTAAGATCTTGCATTGTAAGACTCCGAATACACCAAGGAAACGTCAAGGAAGAGCCAGCCTTTCCAGTTCTACCACTTGTGCAATGTTGTCCCTGGTGTAGTTCACCTTATTGGTATGACAGTGTTTATATACACCTGTGATAACCCCCTGGGTAGTCTTGCTTAGCTCCAATTGCATATAACTTATTTAGCTGATGGCAACACTCGTGCAATTCCTGAATTAATATGCCAAATGTACATTCTGCAAACCTCACCAGAGAGAAAATTCATTAGGTTAATTCATAGAATATTTTAAAATAGTACATATGGGTTGGGGCCATGGGGGGGAAGGAGGGTGGCTATTTGATGTTCTGTTAATTT